TATTTATTGAAGAAAATTTTCCTCACTAAGCATCACATTGACAACTTGTTTTATATTCATATTTTACTAGAATTTTAATTTATATTAGCCTTTACCCTAAGGGAATACAGTAAATGTTTCTTTTATTTATTGAAGAAAATTTATTAAAACAGTAAAAACAGTATGTCTGTGGTATTTGAACCATGATGTGCTCGCTACCTCCTGCTCCAAGATTAGAAAGGTGGAAGCTCTATCTCATATGGGACCAAGGTAAAACAAATGGCCTCCTGTGACCTGAGCTCCCTTCTCAGGAATGGCAGTATATCAGTATATCTCATCCTGTCCCCCGCTACATGCTGCTGAGGCTAAATTACAAGTAAGTGAGGTAAAATTATCTTCTTCTGTCCAGCCTTCACTCATGGAATGGGTACTGAGAATCCTGGGGCCCCAACCTTTGTTGCCGTAGCTTGAAAGTTGGCCTCAGGAAAGATAAGCCAAGAAGATCTGCCCCCAGTTAAATTAGCGCTCAGTCCTAAAGTGAGAATATCACTGAGAGAGAAGTAACCATTTTCTCTACACCCAGTTCCAAAGACTGGCTCACGGATTTTGCCTTAGTGAGAGAAAAAGGCCATAAATCAGATAGTTCCACATATCTCCCCCCCTCAAAAAAATGACTTTATTAGCAACATAGTGTTGAGAAGTTTACGCCAAAGAATGCTTCATAAGACAGGGAAGATTGTGGTTAAAGATAATTAGGAGATAGAGGCTAAATTCTAGGCCATTTAGTTTGTCAGAGAGAAGCAGGAAAAGAGACATCAGGAAGAAGCCCTACTGGGGAAAGAACTAGTACCAAACATTGACTTAGGGAACTGTCCCCTCCAAAGAGCCTATTTTTAATTAAATCAGTTTATGGACATTGAGTTATTGTAGAAAACAATAGAGCAAAAATCTTGAATTTAGTGGAGCTTAACAGTTGTGCATGGTCAGGAAAAGACACCATGGAAAATAGCTGGGGAAAAACCACTTTTATCCCAGAGTAACTGTGATTATATGTAAGGCTATGCCTGCTGAGAAGAAATATCAGAGGCATCACACTATAGAGGGAAATGGACTTTACTAGAATAATCCATTCAGACACTAAACAAACAAAATAATAAGAATCACAAGCCCTGGAGTTGTGGATTAGTACTGAGAGTTGCCGCAATATAGTATCAAAAATATCAGTTACGACCAAAGAAAATATGCAAAAATACCCAAGAAATTATAAACCACACACAAGAAAAAAATCAGGCAATGGAAACATACTGGGAAAGTGACCAGATTTTGTATTTGATATAAAAAGATTTAAAAGTATCCATTATAAATACATACAAAGATCTAAGGAAAGCCATGATTAAAGAAGTAAAGTATGATGACAATGCTACATAAAATAGCAAATATCAATAATCATAAAACAAAACAAAATGAAAAGTATAATAACTAAAATGAATAATTCACTAGAGGGGCACAATGATAGATTTGAACTGGCAGAAGAATTAGAGAATGTAAAGATAGATCACATCTATACAATCTGAAAGATGGAGAGAAAGAGAAAATGAAGAAAAATAAAGAGATCCTTAGAAAAAATTGGCACATCATTAAGCATGCTGACATATATGTAATGGGAGTACCAGAAAGAGAGGAGAGAGAAAAAAGGACCAGAAAAAATATTCTTAGAAATAATGCCTGAAAACTTCTCAAATTTATTGAAAAACTCTAACTTGCACACACAGGAAGCATAACAAACTCCAAATAGGGTAAATCCACAAACACATTATACTAAAAATGCTGAAAGACAAAGAAAAAGAGAATATCTTTAAAGCATCAAGAGAAAAATGACTTGTCACTTATCATAACCTTCTCCAGTAAGATTGACAGCTGAATTCTCATCACAGACAATAGTGATCAGTCATAAGGCAGTGGGATAATGTATTCAAAGTGCCAAAGGGAAAAAATATCTGCCAACCAAGAATCCAATATCCGGCAATTATATCTTTCAAAAATGAAAGTAAAGTAGTTTCCAAGACAAAATATGAGAATTTTAGGCTTGCATACATATCCTTGAAGGGATACTAAAGAAAGTACTTTAGTTCTTGAAAGCAAGAAACCCAAGACATTAATTTGATTTTTTTAAAAAGTATTGGTAAGTATATGTAATTATAAAAGATAGTATAAATTAGTGAAATCACCAAAGATGGAGTTGTAGGGAACTCTAAAACTCCATCTCTAAGCGATTAAGCTTGTAAAAACTATCAGAATTAACTTTCTCAAAATTTCAGAATCTAATAAAAAACAACAATCAGGGGGAATGTTTAATTAAAAAGCTGTTAAATGTTGGGAAGAGGACAGTGGCATTTTAATTTATCCTCCTATTATCCCCCACTTCCAAATTCATCAACATCCATAGAGATGGTGGCCAATATGCCTAGTATCTTGCTAATACCAAAGGGACAATACAGACCTTGTTACCAAAGAATGATGGTGTATAGTGTATATTTTGATATCATAATAGTTCCCTTAGGGGTAAGATCAGGAGGTTACCTTTGTTTTTCTTGCAGTAGAACTTTTTTGAACCTGGAACAGGTTTCAAATGGTTTTTGTTGAAAGCATTTAGAATCAAAAAGTTTCACATAAAGCCTATGCTATGTATCCTCAGTTATATGTTTTCTCAAAGTAAAATGCTTTAAAATTTGAATTATCCTATATAATCAACTGTATTCTTAGTTTTATTTGTAAATACATTCCAAAAAAGTGTCTATCAATAGCAATTATCACATTGTATCATAAGAGCTACTTCTCTGTGGATCCCTCAATTGATGCTCAATAGTATCAATGAATGAATGTCTCAATAAATAAATAGCTTGCATTGATAACACTAGCTGTGTTTTAAAATAGACACAGTTATACCCAGTTATCTCAAAAGGAATTAAAAAGTTATCAAAATAAATTATTCATTTAAAATGTTAATAGCACATTGAAAAGTCGGACTTAGTAAAGATAAAAAAGACAAGATAATAACTTACAATGAAGAGTCTCAAACTGACTGCTATTAAGTCAAATATGCCATCATAGTTGTCTGGCTGTCTCAGGATTTTATTTTTATTTTTATATTATGGAACGTAAATGTTTAGACAAGACATCTACTCTCCAGTTCACCATAGGATCCATCATCCCTGTTGCCTTAAACCAGGTCTAACTCTTAAATCCTTGTTACCTGTAATGGCCACTTAGCATTTTAGTCTGGGATCTCAGCTCTACTAGGAAGGTAAAGTGAACAGATTACCCTGTAATTTATAATTTGTAACCACCTTTTCAGGGATAGAAATTTATTAAAGTTAACACAAATCCATATGACTAACAAATTAAAATTTAACCAAACCAAATTTAGCAAAAGTATAACTTAGAATCCATGATACTAGAGTTATGGGATATCCTAAGAATAGCCCTAGTGAAGAAATTACATTCCTACTATTATCAACAGCTTGAAAGAAACTGAAATAAAAAAGAAAGGTAATTTTGAATAGTTAAAAACATGCAGTCACACTGTTACATCTTACCACTTGTAGTTAATGGTAGCGTATCAATATTTATATTACATCTGGATTACACTTTCTTGATCACAGCAACAGAATAAAGGGGCACGAGAAGTACCAAACTTAAGTACACTACTCAACTAATAACAGCCCTGGTCCAGATCAAAGATAAATTATTGATAAATGAGACATTGTTCTCCTCTGGTATGCTCTTGCCATCAACATCCTTCCTGTCCTTTAGAGCCTGTGTTAGACTCAACTCCAGCACAAATTCTGTGACCAGGTTCACTCTCAAAGCAAGAGTTCACCTTCCTCAAGTGCATTTATTGTCCTTATCAGATTACTATGCTTTAAGAAAGACAGGTCTGCAAAGTTCAGTATCAGTAATTTAGCATTCAAATTCAGTACAAAATTTAGATTAGTGTGATGCAATGTGTTGATATTTATAATCCAAAATATCATTCAATAATTTGTATTCATGTAGCTGAAACTCTCACTAATTATATTATGAACACCTTGTGAGTAAAAGAGTAATCCCTTCTTGCTTCTAACTATGAATTAACTTTACAGTTCCCGGAATACTTCTGTATATTTCGATCCCCACATTATTGATTACCTGGTCTTTTTGCAGGTTTAATTCCTTGAAAATGAGTCAATTTACCTGGAACTTCTGGAATCTGAGGAATGTAGATGTTCTTGGGGATTAAAAAATGTTCTGGAAGGCTCACTTGTGTTGTGTATAAAATAGACTTAGCCTTCTTCAACTCTGAGGTATGAAAGAGCGTACCAGACTGCAAACAATAAAATTGGAATGATAATTCTCTTAATTTTTAGCTCCAAAACACAAAAGACAGCATTATATATTTAGACTACACATTTTTGAAAAAAAATCCACCAAGGGACTGAATTTGTTCATTTTGTTATTTTTACTTAGTTTTTATTTAATTGGTGGAAGACAGTACAAACACATTTCACAGAACCAGTGGAGTCCTCCTTTAATGAGAGATGGCCAATGTCTCCTGCTCTAATGCTTGCAGTGTTGAAGAATTAATTGCCTCTAGGAGGAAAACATTCCACTAGTGACCAGCATCGAGAAAGCACTTCCCTCCTTGAGTTGAAACCTGCACTCCTTCATATCTACCCATCAGATATAGCAAATATATATACAGAGTGAGTCCCTTTCTTTTACTAATGACAATTTTGTGGATTTATAAAAACAACTAGGCCCCAGCCCTCCATGGATGTCAAAAAACTCTTCTTACCAAGGTTTGTTATTTTTACCTTTTTTAACCATTACTCACATAATGTGAGTTACAACAATTCACATCCATGCATATGGTCCTTTAGACACAATCAAGTTCAACACTGTCCTCCCTAAAATAAAACACTGAAGATAAACCCAGACCTCGAAGTGAAAGTGAAGTAGGTTAAAAGTGGCATTATTTTAGGCACATTTTCAATTCAATTAAACAATGATAGGGCACAAATCATGCATAAGATGTCAAGGGATAGACAAATACACACAAGAAAAATGCTTTAGATTTCTAGGAATTCACAATCTTACAGGAGAAAAGATAAACATAAAAGTAAATCTAATACAAAACATAATTCATTAAACGCAATAATAAGCACAAAAAGTACACTGCATTCCAAAGAGAAAGCTAAAGGAAGAGGGAGAAAAACAGAAACTACATATGTGCATACAAAATGGAAAAAAAGAATACAAACATACAAATGAACAAAATCCACCTCCCTCAACCATTTTTTATTTTAATAAAATGTTTTGTTAAAAGGTAGTAATGAAAAAACTAATTTAAAAGGAAAGGGGGGGAGAGAGAGCTAAAGAGAAGGAGAGAGAGAAAGAGAGAATGGGAGAGAGAGGGGAGAGAGAGAGAGAAAGCATACACTATGATAGGGTTAACGTTTGAAATGGCCACTCAATGAAAATTTTTACTGTAATAGTGTCCTGAAAGTTGAACATAAACCTTCCCAAATATATTGTTCTGCAGCAGAAGTTAATCAGTTTGGTTTGAGTGGCAGAAACTGTCAGCTTCTTGGAAGCAGAGTGTAGGTAAGTTAGTAAAGAAGGCGTCAAAGCCTTGAGCTTTAACATTTTTGAGCCAGTCAGAACTTAAAAATTCAGGTCAGGCCAGGTGCGGTGACTCAGCCTGTAATCCTAGCACTCTGGGAGGCCGACGTGGGCGGATTGTTTGAGCTCAGGAGTTCGAAACCAGCCTGAGCAAGAGCGAGACCCCATCTCTACTAAAAACAGACAGAAATTAATCGGACAACTAAAAATATATAGAAAAAATTAGCCGAGCATGGTGGTGCATGCCTGTAGTCCCAGCTACTTGGGAGGCTGAGGCAGAAGGATCGCTTGAGCCCAGGAATTTGAGGTTGCTGTGAGCTAGGCTGACGCCACGGCACTCTAGCCTGGGAAAAGAGTGAGACTCTGTCTCAAAAAAAAAAAAAAAAAAAAAAAGAAAGAAAAATTCAGGTCATCTTTAAAATACCATCATTAAATTGTTAGAAATCTATGGTTAGGCAGGATTGATTCTACTGTTCCGACAAATAGAAAAAGAAATCATTCCTACAATGCCAAGTATTTTGTTGAAATATATATAAATGAAAGTAAACCTTAAGCAAGGATAAAAAACATATATAAAAATGTATGTAAGTTGGTGAAGCAGAACGTCACTGATAGAATTTAGCAAAGACCTAAAGAAATTGAGAGAGGCAGCCCTCTCTAGAAAAAGTACCAGAGGATGTTCAAAGGCCACCAGCAAGGGGGCTTGTACTGAGGGGTGGCCTGAGCGAATGGACTCCCGTGGAGAAGCAGGGATCAGGAAGGAGGCAAGACTGACCAAGAGGGTCATGTAGACCATCCAAAGGATGGACTATGGGCTTTCATCCGACATCAGCCGGAAAGCAAGTAGAGGAATCTGCACAGAGGAGCTACATGAGCAGGCTTGTGTTTACGAGAATCACTTTGGTTGTTCTGTGAGAACAGCTTGTACCTTATCTCAATCATAAAAATAGATTGCACCTTATTTTAAGCTGTAATAAAAGAGTCTATAGTAATATTAATAGTAGTAATAGTCATAATAATAACAATCACAATATCATGCCTAAAGAGAGCACTTATAATCTACCAGGTAATATGCTAAGCATTTTACAAAATCATCTCAATTTTCACAAATTACCAGTAGGGCCATATTAAAAATATAAAAATTGAGGCTTGAGGAGGAAGTGACCAGCCCACAATCATGTGGCTGGACAGTTCAGAATTGGAATTCTCAGTAATAAGTCACCAGAGATGATCCTCCCTGGGTACACAGCAGAATATCCCAGGCAATGTTTAGAACATTTTTCCACCTACCCCCTTCCACAGATTCATACTTAATAGTTGTGGAGTGGGCCTGGGTATTTGCACTATTTTAAGTTCTCCAGGGCATTATGATGTGCAACCAGAATTGACAACTACCATGAATTAATGACTACACTGTAATGCCTTAAATTGCATAGTAGAATGCTTTGTTTCAGATTTATTGTTTAATGAGGTTAAAAAAAGAAAAAATCAACTGAGTTGTTTTTCTGGAAAAAAGCAGCATTCATCATTTTTCTATGTAAAATGTTATAATTAAGTAGTAACAGTTCTATATATTTTTAAAGAGAGAGTAATTTTAGTGTATCATCTGTTCTCCATTCTCACCTCAATCTTGCTCAGCCCCAGGAGTGCGATGGCCACACGGATACTACTGCTCTCCAGAGTGCCTGTGATCAACCTTCGTTCATACTCAATATTTGACATCTGTTGATGCGCTGCAAAAATGAAAGCCTTTTCCTTGGCTTCATTCATCAGTGGCAATTTAAGTTCCACATCCAGGATTTGATGGAGTTCACATTTCAAATATAGAACTGCATCTTCCTCATTAAACCCTAGGGGAAATAAAAAATATTCATGAATGCAATGAACATTTATGCCCTTGACATTGTTATCTAGGATGGACTTGGGAGGTTTGGAATATAAAACTGCAGTTATGGCTTTCATTAAGCAGAGTAAAAATAAACGGGTGGCACATTTCTGTTAGTTCTAATTCAGTGATTCAAGAGTAAGTTTTCAGGAATTAAAGATATTTAATAGGTATTCTCTAAGAAAATACTCTCTAAGAAGAGTTCTAGTCAAATGGTTCTTTTATAGAAACATCGTCAACATACTCAAAATTTCAGTGACCACTGTGCTCCTATCAGTAATAAGAAGGTAGAGGAAGCAGTAATAAATGCAAAACAAAAGAAAGAAAGAAAGAAAAGAAAAGCAAAGAAAAAACCCCTGTCAAGGACTAGCAAGAACTGCCATGTTCTTTCACTAACAACTTTACATTTTAATGACTAATTCGTTAAAGGTCAATAATCAAGAACTAGAGGCCAGGGCAAAATTCCAGGTTATATAACAATATGTAGATTTTTGAGAGTGCAGTAATTTCCACATTGTTTGAGAAATGAAAATTTTTCCTAAGTAAAATATTTTGTACGCTAAATTTCAATATTCATCTGAAGATTGAAAAGAAAATTTAAAAAAATCACCATTTTTTAAAATTAGCAAAATGATGCTAGAAATAGATTTCATAGATGCTGACATAATAAAGTCAAAATGGGACATTTCAAAATCTAATTACTTGCTGGAGAAACTTTCCATGAGGAAGCTTAGATGACTAAATGAGGAATACCCCCATCCTTCAACATTATACATGAAATAAAACACATGTATACTCTACCTTCTTCTGAAGTACTGCCATAGGAAACTGGACTAGAAGGAGGATGCATTGGAAGGAATCTGGAAGGCAAGGGAATCATACCTTTTCCTTCCAAAACATATATGAACTCTCCAATCTAAAACGCAAGCACACAATAATATTAAACTTTTTTTTTTTTTTTTTTTTTTTTGAGACAGAGTCTTGCTTTGTTACCCGGGCTAGAGTGAGTGCTGTGGTGTCAGCCTAGCTCACAGCAACCTCAAACTCCTGGGCTCAAGCAATCCTTCTGCCTCAGCCTCCCGAGTAGCTGGGAATACAGGCATGCGCCACCATGCCCAGCTAATTTTTTCTATATATATATATATATATTTAGTTGTCCAGATCATTTCTTTCTATTTTTTTTAGTAGAGACAGGGTCTCGCTCTTGCTCAGGCTGGTCTCGAACTCCTGACCTTGAGTAATCCACCCACCTCGGCCTCCCAGAGTGCTAGGATTACAGGCGTGAGCCACTGCGCTCGGCCAATAATATTAAATTTTAAAATCTTATAAAAATATAAATCTTTTTGCTAATAGGAAAATCTGCATACTATAAAAATACCATTCATTGTGCTTTTCTAAGCAATATAGGTAGGCTTTAAATGGGTGGCAAAGGTAATGTTCAATTATAGCATGCAACCAGAACACAAGGATTGGTCAAGAAGTTCCCAGGATCGGCATAGACAGTAGTTCATCTTTATATTAATAGCTACAAATGTCCTTGGGAAAATACTATCTTTAAACTAACAAACGATCAAGCAAAAACAAAGTTTTCCTTCATTCTGTAACTTATTGTTGGAGGGGAGCGGCATCATTCTTGCAGGGCATCTGAGTCTCCAAGAGTGTATATTTTAAAGTGTAGTCTTTCAAAATGAGCATGTGAGGGTTTAAAAATCTTTTAGAACAAATAATTAGGCAGGAAGCGCAAAGGGCTTGAGAAAAAAAATAAAATTTTTATCTGAGGAATGCAGGCTCCCTTTAATTATCAGGCCCAGAGAGGCATTGAAATGTGACAGCACGTGACAGTAGTTCCGTCTCACTCTCCCCTTGAGCTAAATAATTGAAGACACTTGCTATGTGGGCTCTAGACTGACTGATGCCAACTAACCATAAAATGCCATATGCTGGACACATGTGTAGCCAGTCACTAACCAACATTATTTCCGGCAACCAGTGAAAATTCCTGTCAAACAACTTGGTAGCAGCCCCCTCTTTGTCCTCTTGTGCCTTTAAAAACCACCTTGAAACAAAGGCTGAATGGAGCACTCCCCAAGGCAACTTGGATGTGTGTTTGGGCAGCTGTCCTCACCCTTGGTCAAAATAAACTCTCTATATTAATTTTGTCTCTAGTTTCTTTCTTTTGGTCAACAGGCTAAACAGAGAATACAAAAATAAAAGTGGGGACAATGCAAGGGCAGCAACACAATATAGTGAAAGATCAATAGAGGTAAATATGCCTGGTTTTAGTTGGCACTGCCATTTATTAGCTACTAAGCCTCAGGCAAGTTTACTAAATTTTTGAGTTCCAGTTTCCTCCTCTGTAAAATGGGATAGCCAATACCTTTATTTTAAGGATCTACGGTTTAAATGAAAAGAAATAGGAGAGAGGGAGTCTCAAAAGACGTATCATGCGAACACAATGGATAAGCCTTATTTAGATCCTGACTCAAAAAAAAGAAATTTAAAATGAAATGACACAAAATAAACATATAAAGCTGGGAAATTTGAACACTGCTTGGATGTTAAATGATATAAAGAAAAATTTTCCAATATTCTTAGTAGTAATGGTATGTAAGCCTGAGTTCTAAGCCACCTCTTTGAGATTGACACATTTCCCACATGCGTATCTCTCATGTACATATGAAACACACATGTTAATAAGCTGTTTTTGTTATATTACAGGGGTTTATCCCTGTTAATGAATTATAAAGGTTAGATAGAAAATTATTTTTTCTTCTCTCCATACGTGTTTTATATTTTCCATAATAAAATCTTTTTAAAAAATCCCTATATCTTAAAAAGGGCAATGATAGAAAGGATGCAGTGAGGACTGCATGAGGTAACACATATTAGGAAGGTAGCCCTTTGCCTGGCACTTACCAGCCATTTAAGAGATCCATTTAAAGGGAGTGTATACATTCTCTGAAGGTGAGGCTTCCCAGACTTTTGTGTGCATATCAATCATCTAATGCTATTGTGAAAATGCAAATCTGACTCAAAAGGTCTAGGGCGGGGCCATGACTTGAGAGGACCAATCAAAATGAAGGCTGGCAAATTTAGATACAATGAAGAATCTTATACCAGAATGGGTTTGTGACAGGCATACAACTAACTACCTGAAAACCAAAACGAAACAAACCTAGCTTTGAAGCTGGGATCACAACTAGTATCAAATGTCTCACAATCTTAAAATGATATCAGCTGCATACCTGAGAGGTTATTCCAGAAATATCTTTGAGTAGATAATATATATGCAAATGATAAAAAAATGAATTGACCATGCAATAAAAAGATATATTCCAAAATATTATAAATATCATAGATAAGTAAAATGGTAGAAATTGAAAATTAATCTGTAAACAATATAAGAATGAACAATTTCTGATTGTGAGGTTAATTTTTATATCGCTTTATCATCCACCCATTGAGATTTGTTTATAATTCATTTGGTAGTCTACTTTCATATGATAATTGTAGGCAGGCCCCTTGAGATTTTAGTACCCTGGCATTTTAAAGACTGAAATAATGTAAGACTGAACTAGGCCCCTGATGTTACCGAAAGCTCGGGCACTTGTTCCTGAGGCCACAAAAGTGTCATTCTCTTTGGCTGGCAAAAGGATGGCAGGATTGAGAATAAACAGTCTTTAATATAATGACTCACAAGTAGATGTTACTACCCAGAGGCAAAGAGGCCATCCTCTCACAATATTGTTCAGTGGCTTTGAGAAGTATGCCACTGCCCTGAAATGTCTCCCAGCATCTATACTAAGACTCCAAGGCTCATTCTTTATTTTTCATATTATTTATAAGTCAGGCAAACCCAACGCAGGGGCATTCATAAGCTGTTCCCTTAAGGGTCCTGTACAAGGGCTTTGTCATCCGTCCAAAGTCTGGGATCCAGATGCCATTCCTAAGAACCCCAGATAAGAAACCTGTTGTTTGCAAATCTGTCCAATCACAGGTTCTGCAAGCCCCACTAAGCTCCCATCAAACAGGGCAGGAGAGCCCTTTTAAAACCACTAACACAGTCCAGCAGCAGCACAAGGCACCCCAGTCCCAGGATCCTGCCATTTAAATGCAACTGAGTACCATTCAAGTTCCTCAGCCATGGTCTTGCTTGCCTATGGCTGCCTCACCTCTGCCTGGTCCCTCCTCCACAGCTCCTTGCCTAGTTTGCAGGGTGCTGGGCATGGCTGGTGCCAGGGGTCAGGGCAGTGGCTGGGGGAAGGAGTCCACCCCGACCACTTCTATCTATGGACTTGGCACCAATCAAATCCCTACTGTCAATGCTGCCGAAGGCTCCTGTTGTGGATGTTAGGAGGCAGGGGGCTACAGGTCCCCTCCTTGCCATCTGAGTCCTGGACTTAAA